CTGTCACTCATTCAAAGTGATGGATTGCGTTTGTATGAACTGAATTGCATCATGACTCACTCCTTTGTTAGTCGGTAACGTGTCAAATAAAGTTTTGCGACTCTAAACATTGGGAACCATTGACTTTCTCTTACAATGTGAAGTCATGTGCGCGTATCTTGATGTTAAAGGAAAAACACTTCTGTCAATGGACAACAAATTAATTAGACAATTAACTCGGCAAATAAGACTGAAAACTCGGCACATCAGCCGTTCGGATGATGACACTGAGTGACAGAGCTGTCCTTTTCCTCCAACGCCCGGCTCGTGATGACGTACGTAATTCTCACGCATGCAATTGCGCAGCTGCAGCCCACGACGACACGCGGGCGTCTGCGCGTGCTCCTTCTTGAAGCAATGACACCAGCCTCAGTCCACTCCTCGTCAAGCTCCCTCGTGTTTCTTCCAACGCTCTCAAGACTCGTCCTTGTCACCCGTGGACCTTTTCCGTCCACACTTTCCATTGAGCGCTAAGTGAGCAAGCATTCAGCTTCTGCAATTTTTTTGGATGGAAATAAAATAGTGGTGAAGAACGAGAAGTTTCGGGCTTCGATGTCATCCAATCAACGTTGCAGTATACGGTATAAGATTGGTTTGCTGCGGATTCAGGTCATCTGACCAGTGATGATATAGTCCTAAGAAAAGGTTGTAGTCAGGGGTCAGCAACCGGCGGCTCCGGAGCCGCATGTGGCTCTTTCAGCCTTACTTTGCAGCTCTGTTGTCGCTTCGGAATGTCAAAAAGTGTTTGCGGCTCCCAGTGTTATCTTTTCCGCGGAAACCGGGTCGAAATGGCTCTGAAAGATTGCCGACCCCTGATTCTAGACCCAAGAGAAGTTGGTTTTCTCAAGAGAGCTTTGTCATCCTAGTGCAGAATCAGAAGGTTGTAGTCCAGGCAGAAGGTAGTCATCTCCAGAAAATGTTAAGAGTCCACAAAAAGGTACTCGCCCCAAGAGAAGCTTGTAGGTTCTAGTCCAGGGCAAATGTTTTAATCCCCAAAAATATTTCTAGTCCCAAGAGGAGGTTCCTAACCTGTCTATTCTGCCCGACAACAAGCACCGTTTCATTGGTCCTCTAGGTGTTTGTCAATCAAGCAGTAGCGGAGGAGGAGGAAGAAGAAGAAGAGGACACACACCTTTGATGGAAGAGGATGACAACGAGGATGGAGTGTCTGTGCCTTGAGGGAGGTCGCCAAAGTGGAGTCAGCCACCCACATCACCGCCAGGGCTTGAGAGCCATGCTATCTTTTCACCACGGCGAAACATTTCGACTGAAGTAGCTCATCGCTGCTCTCATTTCCACGGGTAGGACATTCCAGCATGCCGGAGCCCAAAAAGAGCATGCTCGGGAACCTGCAGACTTGGTCGCTAAATGACCCACGTGTTGCGAATGTGGCTTTCGGGATGGAAGATATGGCACCACGAAGTCAGCAAGAAACAAAATCTTTACATGGCATCTCAAGTGCGCCGGGAGCCAATGCAAGTTCTACGTTGCTATGCTTGGCAATCTAAACTCCAAAGCAGAAGATACAAGCTGTGTTTTGCGCTGCTAGCGGGCCTATTTTCATACTTATCATCAGAAAAAGAATCGCGCTTCATTGTTGTAGCGAGAGCATCACAGTAATCAACAAATGTATCCAGTGTAGAAATAACTATCTATTCCCTATGGCCGCCTGCTTGGCAATGTTTTGCATTTGTTAACAATGCTGATGCTAGCGCAAGTCAGGTCGCATTCCCGTCAACAAGTTGTTGCCCTTGTTTGTGCACTGTCACTCATTCAAAGTGATGGATTGCGTTTGTATGAACTGAATTGCATCATGACTCACTCCTTTGTTCATCTGTAACGTGTCAAATAAAGTTTTGCGACTCTAAACATTGGAAACCATTGACTTTCTCTTACAATGTGAAGTCATGTGCGCGTATCTTGATGTTAAAGGAAAAACACTTCTGTCAATGGACAACAAATGAGAAAATTAACTCGGCAAATAAGACTAAAAACTCGGCACATCAGCTGTTAGGATGATGACGCTGAGTGACAGAGCTGTCCTTTTCCTCCAACGCCCGGCTCGTGATGACGTACGTAATTCTCACGCATGCAATTGCGCAGCTGCAGCCCACGACGACACGCGGGCGTCTGCGCGTGCTCCTTCTTGAAGCAATGACACCAGCCTCAGTCCACTCCTCGTCAAGCTCCCTCGTGTTTCTTCCAACGCTCTCAAGACTCGTCCTTGTCACTCGTGGACCTTTTCCGTCCACACTTTCCATTGAGCGCTAAGTGAGTAAGCATCCAGCTTCTGCAATTTTTTTGGATGGCAGTACGAGAAGTTTCGGGCTTCGATGTCATACAATCAACGTTGCAGTATACAGTATAAGATTGGTTTGCTGCGGATTCAGGTCATCTGACCAGTGGAGGGCAGCAATGCACTAGACGTGCCAAGTCTGCCAAAAAAAGAGAACGAAGAAGAGAAACGCAACGGTCCTGGTGACGGTTCAGGCACATCCTCGGACACCTCTGCCAGCTGGCTGCCGGGGTCCTCGTAGCTGCTTAGCCGAGTTGCTAAGCGGATAGCAAACACGTACGCAGTAGCTCAGCGAAACGGAACAAACTCTTTTCGTGGACTCTTCAGGGCCAGAATGATGCCAAAAGCCGTCAGGTTTGTCCGCTCGTCGGTCTCCTCGAGTGCTACGAAAGCGATCGTTCATCCACATTTGGGTCGTTTTGCCTTATTTGTGCGGGGCCAGTGCCGCCGAATTGAAAGCTAAGCAGACCGGGAGGGAGCGTTACCGGCCTCCGCGACGTGACCTTGCTCGTACACCAAATTGCGACTCGGCATATCGATTCGCGCGGATGTCGTGTTTTTAAATGACGTCAACTGCGTTAGGAGCGACAACACGGTAGGAACGCAGACGCCGCTAACGCCGCTAGCACGCTCCGTTTGCAACTCGAACGTGGACGACGCGAGCTCAGTGGCGTCGCGCGGCGTTTTCCAAAACGCGTGAAAAGCTCGGCAATGTTTACAATTTTGGCCGCGTTTGCGCCTCGCCGAAGTGTTCAAGCGTTGCATAACTTCCTCTTACAAGTGTTTGCCCCTTTCAAAGTTGACGCGTTGATGGTGCCCAGCGTCGGCAACTGGAAAGTCCCAACTTTTTCTTTTGGGTATTCTTCAAATGATCGTTCTTGTGGTTCTTATTGCCGCCGCTGTTTTCGTTCGTATTATTGCGTCGTATATCCGGACAATTGGCGTCGTTCGTGGAAGCTTTTGAGCCAAGCAGGAGGGCGTGTTGGTCACTTGGTTAGGTACATTTCAAGAAGCCGAAGCAACACTTTTGTCCAGACATCTCACGTCATCTGTGTGGTTATGTTTTGTAGTTCAAAGAACGCGGTCTCGAAATCTTACATCATCTAATATGCGCTTATTCGTATCACAAACACATGTAATGTCTTTATTGCTATGTCACATTGAAGGCAAATCCTTTGGTGCTAAAGACAAATGAAGCAAACATTGACATCAAAGACGTCCCGAACACTTTCACTTGCAGTCTTTTAAACATTCATTCTGACAACTTGACAAAATTCTGATGTGGTCTAAACACAAGTCAGTAAGTCCGAAGAAACGATAACAGCAACAACAAATCTGTGGCTTTATCACTTCAACTTTTCTTGTTTCGTGAAACGATCACCCGTGCGCATGTCGAGAATGACTCAGCTTTTCAAGACACACAGGCGGCAAGAACAAACCAAACGTCCGCCGGTTTCTCCATTTTCAAGGACCACCAAAAGTTTGCTGTAGTCGCTACGCTGGGATGGACCGCGGCGGGGCGGACACGTCCGGGGGCCGCTGTAGTCCCGGATGCCCGCCTGAACGGGCGGGAGGGTAATCAGAAATAATGATGCATTCATTTGATAATCGATGTGTTGTCGTTTTAATTGATTTGATTTTTGATTTGACTTTTTATTAGGTCTCCTAATTGTTGCGCTTCTATCGTATTTATTTTTACTGTGCCGTTGATTTGGATTTCCTGTTTGTGGAAGCTTTGAGCCAAGCAGGAAGTTGATTCGCTGCAACCACGCCGGCACGCCGAGCGGGCGACGCCGCTCGCTCGGCGTGCCGGCGTGTCTTTGTCAGGCGAGCGAAATGCCTTTTGAATGATGTTTTGCTCGTGCAGGGATGAGCTGACCTCGGCCACGTTTGTCGTCGTGTTGCGCTTCCTGGCGAGCCTCCGCTGAGAACGGCGCAGCGCCCGCCCGCCCCGCCCCGCCCACCGCTGCTCTCCCGCCTCCACCGAGTACGGCATCAAGCATGTATTGTCTGCAGTGGCTGCTGCCGGTGCTGCTGATCCCCAAGCCGCTCAACCCGGCGCTGTGGTTCAACCACTCCATGTTCATGGGCTTCTACCTGCTCAGCTTCCTGCTGGAGAGGAAGCCGTGCACCATCTGTGCCTTGGTCTTCCTCGCCGCCCTCTTCCTCATCTGCTACAGCTGCTGGGGAAACTGCTTCCTCTATCACTGCCAGGTAGACGCATGGCACAAGAGCGGTCCCCATATTTAACGTTGACAAGCCAAACGTTCTAACCCAATCGTCATTTTACTCCCGATTTATTTGTTGGCTTTCCGATATTTAAGTTCGGTGTTCCTCAACTCTGTTTCCATGGAGCACCGTGAAAGTAGCAGCAAAAAGCTCTACTTTTGTTTAAAGGAAGCTCCTCAATTCACCTCAACAGGGTTCCTTGGCTTCAAGATGCCACAAGATGGCGGCTAAGCACGACCTTTGCCTAAATGAAGCTCTCCAACTCACTTAAGGCTAGTTCCTTTGGCACCAAGACGCCACCAGATGGAAGCAAAAAACTGCTTTTGTGTGAATGAAGCACCTCAACTCACTTGAACATCAATTTGCACCAAAATGTCTCTTGATGGTGGAAATGATCGACTTCGGTCCAAATGAAGGTCCTTAAAATTCACTTTTTTTAAAACCCCAAGCGACCACGAGATGGTGGCAAACCATCCCTTTTATCTAGATAAAGCTTCTCAACTCATGTCAACGCAGTTCCTTCGCGCCAAAATGGTTAAAGATGGCAGCAAAGCACTACTTTTATTGCTTTGGCCTGAGCACAAACATTTTTTAAGCAAATTAACAGAGGATGAAAAAAATACATGTCAAACCATGAGTATTGTGGTCTTTTGAAGTACATGAGTGGAAATGACTTTGGGCGGTGGTGTGTCAAATGGATGCCAACGGCGACTTCAAACGGTTGATTTGATTTGACATCTCCGTTCCAGGACGCGGCCCTGCCACACGCAGCCCACGACCCGGCCATCGTGGGCACCTAGAGGCCCGCCGCCGCCATGCTGGATACAATAACCAACTTTGTTGGAAAGACTTGATGAAAGACTTGAAAAACGGAAAAAGTGGCGGACATTTTGTTTGTTCTTGCCGCGTGTGTGTGTGTGTGTGTTTACTCAGAATCTGACACACCGGACAATCAACGTTGCCGACCACTCCTTTTCCTCTGACTTCACACACGCAACCGCACACATGAATCCATGGTCTTTGATATGATTCAGTATTTTCAGCACATGCAAAAGACACAACACACACACACGTATCCACAAACTCACACATTTAAGTTGGATGGCAACTTTTTAAAAAAAATTGAATTCTTGTGTTGCGTCACAAAGTTGTTTTTGGTTTTTAAGTGGAATAAAATATTTTTTTCCCCTCGTAGAGTATTGTGTACTTGAACAAAAAAAAAAAAACGTTACTGTTTCATATTTTTCACCGACGGTGCCAAAACGAAATTTAGAAACAGCTTTGAGAAGTCAGTTTTCCAAAATGAAGCCCTTAATTGAATAGAATGACTGGATATAATGTAACACCTTTGAAAATAAACGTATCTTTTAATCTCTTAAAACACTTTTTTTTTAAATTACTGTCATTTTAAATGTATTCGTCTTCTGTTTTTGGATTTTTAAAATTTTCAATTGTTGATTGTCCATATTCCTTTTAATATTGTGCCAATTTAGGTTTCATTTTTAGCTTCCCCGTACAAAAAAAAATTTTTTTTGGTCAAACATTTTAAAACTTCAAAATCTGAACACTTTAAACTTGTTTTATTTTTTGAAATGTACAAGAATGGATTTTAAAAATAATGTGAATATTTAAAAAAAAAACGTGTTAATGTACTTTGACAGTTGTGCTGCGTTTAGCTGATTTTATTATTTAAATATGTATCAAAAGTTAACACCGTGCGTTGGCCATGAACATGAAAGAAAACATCAGTTGCCCTTATAGGAACGTGATCTCAGTCTCCAAATTCTGAAAAAAGTCCTCCTGCATCTCCAAGTCAAGCTGCTCCATCCTCTGGAAGGCCGCATGGCCTTTTTTACCTGACCAAAAATCAAGAAAAATGAAAGAAATGAACATGCTGGGAATGAAAGCCATCAGCCAATCAGGCAGAAACTACCAAAAGAGAGGACCGCTTCCTTGGCGGCATTTCGAACGCCTTCATCGGGACACCTGCGAAGTTCAACCATGTGCTCCACACTCTCTGTGGCCTGGAAATACACGCACACAAATACATCAGCCCAACGACACGCGTGCACACACAACACGCGAATGAGTGTGTGGGAGCAAGAGGCAGACAGAAGCAATCAAAGTCCGACGTAATGATGCGACGCCCTTCGCTCACCGCCAAGCATTTGAGCGCCAAACAAGAGTTCCGCTGAATGACGACGTCGGTGCTCCTCAAACTCTCCGTGTAGTAAACAAGTGCCTGCACACACACACACACACCCACTTTGAGTGTTAACCTAGCCACATGCTAGCACAGGAGGTGTACCGTACCCTGCCTCGGAAGGCGGTGCAGACAGAAGCCCGTTTCAGGCAGCGGGCGGCAGCCTGGCACACTTTGCGGTCGGCATCGGTCAGGAGCGCCGCCATCGCCTGCAGCGTGCAACCCAGTGGAAGAAGGCGGGCCACGCCCCGCGACGTCATCCTGGTCAGCGCGCCCCGACGCTTGGGACCCTTCACGGCCGACAGGAAGTACTCTACGACGGCATAAGACCGTGTGAGTTTACGGGGGAGGGCGGCGCGGGTGAGAGCCGGCCGGGCCTGACGCACCTTCCTTGGATAGGCGGGCGACGTGTTCGCCCAGCGTCAGGATATTGCATCGTCTCAGGTAAATCGACAGCTGGAACAGGCTCACTCTGTCTGCAGAGCACGGAGGCTGAGGAGGCCATAGCGCCGCCCTGCAGGCCGCCTGCACCTGCTGCAGCAGTGTGCGGAACACTGAACAGACATCAAAAACACACTTTTTTTGGTATTGTTTTTTAAAATGTCTTCATATTTTGAATGTTAAGATATATACGTCAAAAACCTACGTTTCTTACATGCATCACAGAAAGATATTTCTCATTTATGTGCATCTAAGACACACGTACTGATGAACACGTTGGCTTCTGCACATCAAATGTTTCTGCACGTCAGAACACAGTCTCGTACACGCATCCAAGACTCGCATTGACTTCACTTCACACGTAAGCTTTTGTTCTTACCTCTTTCGGGGAGCCCAGGCTGCTTGGCTTTGACTTTGGCTTTAATTTTGTGCGAGTAATGTTTCCTGAGTGCGTTGACAAAGTTGTCCGAGTGGCAGCAGAATGGAGAAGAGCAAGCGACGTCTCGCACGCAGTCGGCCCAGAATTGCAAAACCTCCCTGCTCCTCTGATTCTCTGGAAGCACTGCAACACAACAGGGGGACAAACTGTCACCTCTCAATGACCGACCGGACAAATCAAATCCAACCAACCAACCAACCAGTCAATAACCAAGCAAGGAAGCTCTGCAAGCAAGCAATCAAAAGCCATCAGTTTGTCAGTCAGGCGTGCAGGTTAGTTAGTGAGTTGCACTCACAGTCTTCAGTGGAGATGTTGTCCTTGTCCTCCAGCAGTAAGCAGCCGATTCTGTTCAGGACGTCCGCTTGTTGAGAAATATCCTCAAGCAGATCTTCACGGGTCAAACTGAAGTTGATCCTCTGCAGCGTCTGAGGAGTACCACAAGAACATCAGACGAAAAGCCAGAGAAGCTGTGCAAGAAAGCCTTCGTACCTCCAGTAGGATGCAGCATGTGTCCAGGTGTGTCTCCAGAGCCTGGTCTAGACCCCAGTGGCCACAAGTCAGCGGGGAGACTGGCGGCTGATCCTCGCAAACCCGTTGGTCCTCGGCGCTCCTCGGACAAGACATATACAGTATATAGATAGAGAGATAGATAGATAGATAGATAGATATTTATACACACTCACCCGCCGAAACAGGAAGTGTCATCATCATGTGACAGGAAGTCAAAGCTGCAGAGAACCTCCTCCACGGCCAAGGTGTCATCCGATGTCGATGGTCTCATCAGGGACAGGTCGTTCTGAGGGAGTTCAAAACAACACATGCACAGTGGTTGACTTCTTTGTTGCTTTTGTGCGATGATGATGATGATGATGTCAAGTGAAGAGCTGCATTTAGGCGGAAGCAGTCCTTTGTTGCCATCCAGTGGCGTCAATCAGTGACAATTTTTTGATCTGAGCAAGTTTCAATGGTTTGAGGTGCCGCGCTTCCTGTCCACCGCATGCATCTCACTCACCCTCAGGATGGTGTTGAGGTGTTCTATCTGCTGCTTCAGGACCCTCAGTGGGCTCTCACAGTTCTGCGGCGTCCGCAAGTTTCTCTCGAGCCCGGCCAGCAGCCCCCCCAGGCGCAGCGCTTGCGCCCGCCTCTCTCCAGCGCCGGGCTCCTCCCCCCCGTGCCTGGGCCCCTCCACCTTGGCAGCTGTAGAGGGGAGCAAGGCGGCGGGGGATTCCAGGGCGGGGTCCGGTACGTCCTGCCATTGAAGGAGCGTGGAAGTCAAAAGTCTTGTTTCCATTGCTTGACAAGGAATATTCTGAAGAGACGTGGGGACCGCTTGGAATTATGGCCAAAAGCAAACGAGATGATAATCAAGCAAAGAGGAGCTTGACAAACTTTGCGCTCCTGGCTGACGCCATTTGGTGGACCATCCTCGCCCTCCGTGGAACCTCCTGTTGGGTTGTCTTGCTTGTCTTTGAGGATGTCAGGGGTGCTGGACCTAATATTGACAAACGATTCTTGTCATTATTATTATTACTTCCAAGGTGAAGTCTTCACATTCACTCCTTGCCTTGTTTGACTACCTAAAGTTTTCAACTAACATCAGGTCTTGTCACTCATATCAAAGCGACATTATTTGTTCTTTATCAAGCCTTCCACTTTGAAGCTGGCCTACCGTAGCAGTGATCGTACATTCTATAGCCAGCAGAGGGCGCTTTCACCTCTTCCTCTTATCCATCCATCCAACCATCCAATTTGCTAATCCTCACAAAGGTCGCGGGCGTGCTGGAGCCTATCCCAGCCGACTTCGGGCAGTAGGCGGGGGACACCCTGAACCGGTTGCCAGCCAATCGCAGGGCACGCACAGACAAACAAACATCCCTGCTCACAATCACACTTGGGGACAATTTGGAGTGTTCCATGCATGTTTATGGAACGTGGGAGGAAACCGGAGCACCCGGAGAAAACCCACGCAGGCATGGGGAGAACAGGCAAACTCTACACAGGAAGGCCGCAGCGGGAATGGAACCCCGCACCTCTGCACTGTAAGGCCGACTTGCTAAGCGGTCGACCGCTGTTCCGCCTCTTCCTCTTATTTTCAAATCAAATATTTCTATTGAGGGTACAGTCGATGTACTTTATCGTATTCAAATTTCAATGCCTATTTGAAACCAATCAAACGATGAGGCGTCAAACGTTGACGTTGTCACCTGTGAAGATCCACGAGAGAAGAAGGAGAAGCAAACATTCCTCCCCAGGCCTCCCCCTTCTCCTCTTCCTCCTCTTCCCGACCCATCTGACTCCTCCTCCCGCTGGTCACTCTTTCCTCTCCGTCCTCGCCCATGGAAAGTTGAGTGTGACTTCCTGCCACGCTGCTGCAGAGGCTGGATGAATGGAAGGATCGATGAAATGATGGATGAACAGAAGGAAGGATCAATGGTTGGATGGATCAAATGGTAAATTGACAGAAGAAATCGATGGAGGGATGACGGATGTTTGAAGATTGGCAAGGTGAAAGGATCGTTGAATAATACAATGGAAAAACAGATGGATGAAAGCATGGATGAATGGCTGGAAGGAGACGAGGATTGGCGGTTTCAAGGATGATTGGATTCATAACATTGAAGTATAGATGAATGACAGAATAAAGACGGGTGGATGGAAGGATGGAGGCATCGACGCTTGGACGTATGGTTTGGTGCGGTGTGATTTTCGTGTACCTGGGTGGTGTCTTGGCCTGTGAGAGGCTGGATGTGATGGACGAGTGTGACAGATAGCTCATTAAAGACACACCCCTGGCCCGCCCACTTTTCCTCATCCGGAGTGGGACTGAAGCTCCTCCTCCTCCGTCCTGCAACTCCTGAACCATCGACTACAAGACGACAATCAAAATTTTGGTATGTCTACAAGATATTTTTATATTCACATCCTCATTAGCAACCTAGCTCCTTAGCTCCCTCGCGAGCGACTTCTCAATCTCGCTCTCTGCTTTGCTCTCCACAGTCTGCCTACCTAACTACCTACCAAACAAGCTTTCTGCCTAGCTACGTAAAATGTACCAACCTACCTACCTAATCCCTACCTTCTTATCTTCCGAGCTACCCACCTTCGTGACGGCCAATTTGTTAATCCTTCTAGCTAGCTGCTGACGTAACCAATGTCCCAACATCCCTAGCTAGCCAACTAGCTAGCTATCAGGTCAGTGTGCCACACACTCACCAGGAAGTACTTCTCTGAGAAGGAAGGTGTGCTGGGTGCAGTCCAACTTTGCACTGAAGTCTTCCTGCTCCACCCTGACGGCCGGCTGCTCGACAAAAGTCCAACCTTGTCACCACTGTCCAACGGACTACGCACACAAAATCATGAAATGTGATTTGTCGTTTTGTTGCTTTGGTGGTGGTGGTGGTGTGTGTGTCTTGCTTACTTCCACGTAACCTCCAGCTGTAGCTTGATGGTCCCTAGTTGGGTAATGTCCACCAGCATGAGTTGGGGAGTAGCCACAAAGAAGTGCGCGCTGGCACAGGTCACCGTGCCCACCAGCTGCCAGCCCAGACCCTTGGCCTCTGAAACCTGAGTCGGGGGCAGGGGGACCTGACTTCAGCATCCAAAACTGGCCTTCTAAAATTTGGGGGCCAGAAATGTTTCCAAGAACCCCTTTCTAATCCTAACACCGGGTAAACATTCCGACCATGTGTACGACAATGTTTTCGGCAACAATTGTTCAAAGGCTTCACACTGTTTGTTGTAACTCCAGTAAAAGTTGACTGTCTAGCAAAAAAAAAAAAACCCAAAAAACAATAAGCTTGGTTTTATGTAGTACACACCCTCCACCAAACGGGCCTCACCTTGATCTCAAAGTTGTGCTTGATGTGCGGTAGGAAGAGCATCTCCTCCTCATCCCAGGACTGGACATCGTCGCTTTCGATACGGCCGCGAATCCTCCAGCGCTGATGGCCCAGCTGTAGCACAACCTGAACCAACAAGGCACGAGAGGTTTGGAAGCGGGTACAGTATGTAGATAGGTAAGACACAAGGGAAGAAGCACTTGAAGTAGGCAGGTCGGCGGTAAATGAGTAGGTGGGCAAGAAGGAAGGTAAGAAAGTTGGGAAGTCGGCACAGTCGATAAGGAAGTGAGAAGTAATTTCGGTAAGAAGCTGGAGAAGTATTGAACTCGGTTGGTAGGTTACAATATGCGGTTGGCTGGAGATGCTCACCTCATACTGGTCTCCGGGACATAGCCGGGCGAAGCCAATGAGACCTACGAGTGGAAAAGGCGTTAAAAGTATCCAAACTAGCATCTGTGGTCAAACGCTCCAATCCGCCTCTTCCATTTCTACCTTTCATCTTGACGTGAAGTTCTCCCAGGAGGACCTCGAGCTCTCCCTCCATGGCTGACATGTCCTGCAGAGAGAACACAAGTCGCGTTGGCCTGGGACTTGGAGCGACGACGACAGCGCTGCTGCCTAATAAACACCAGGAATTGTCTTTCTGGTCGAATATCCTTCCAAAGAAGAAGAGTGATCGCACAAAGCACAAGGTGTTCTGACGGACGAAAAGCTACTGTATCATCTTTGTGCTAAACCTTCTGATCAAAAACATACAATTGCGTGCTGGGAGACTTTTAAAAAGAGTTGTCTTTTAAGTTTAAGAGAGGAGAGATTGGAACGAAAGAGCAGCTTGCGAGTGGTAACAACCTGGACGCTGTGCCTGTGGTTGCGTCCGAGTTCCAGGAGGCTCTCTCTGGACTCCCTGGTGGAGGGCGCCAGGGAGAAGGCTCTCTTCATGTTGACGGCTCCCTGGCAGAGACGCCACTGGACGCAGTAGTTCTCGTAGAGCTCGTCCACCTGCGGTTATGATTGGTCAGTTGCAATCATCTCACGAGGTAGCAGGTGTAGTCGATGGTAGAAGAGCGGTTTTGGGGCTGATTACACCGCACTTTAGCTTATTTTATTCAGTGAGAAATGATCCCAAACTTTTATTTATACGCATTCTTTCCGCCTCACTCATCCAGGTCATTTCATTTTCGTCTTCCCAACTCTAGCGTTTACCTTGCTGATTTGGAATTCCAGCTTTCGGATAAGCCTCTCCTGAACACGAATCTCCTATAGGACCGAAGAAGAATGAAAAGTGATTTTTGGTTTATTCTGAGAGGCATGAGGCTCAGAGTTGCTCACCTTGTCAAGGTCGTACTGAAAGCCCTGCAAGGACGGAAAAGGCCAAGCATTAAATTACATTTAGTCATCAAGTGTCCTAAGTGCCTTACGTCTCTTTACCTGAATGCCTCTGCTCAATCATGTACACTGATTCTATCCAAAAGTTTGTTTGCAGCTCACCAGTCTGGAGTTCCTTTTGGTTTCTCGCTGCTGTGAAGACAGAAAGTCCATCTCAGTCTGGTGGCGCTGCACATGATCCCTGCACACACACACACACACACACACACACACACACACACACACACACACACACACACACACACACACACACACATCACTTTTTAGATCTCCAACCTCAGTTTTTAGACCTCAGATTTCAGACATTCAATCTCAGATACTACATTTGAGTCCTGCACCATCAATCCTTAGATCTGTTTCCAGATCTCTGACTTTAGGCAACAGACCTCAGACTTCAGACTCACGCCAGAGATTTGAGATGTCAGACCACAGACCAGACATCAATCCTCAGAACTCACATTTAAGACCCTGAATCAGTTTTCACACCCCTGATCTTGGACTTCAAACATCAGAGATTAGACTCCAGACCACAGATTCCAAAACTGGATTTCACACTCCAGATCTCAGACATTAAAACACAGGCATCAAAACTTGGATGACAGACCTCCTCAGATTTGAGGTATTACAGACTCCAGACCTCTGTTGTTATCCAACACTTCAGACCTCACACTTTAGACAACAGAGCTTCGAACATAAACGTTTCAGCGCTTAAAACTTACATGTTCACATTTAACATCCCAAATCTGTTTACGGACCTCTGATCTCACGCTTCAAAACTCAGAAGTTCCATTTCAGACCTCAAATACCAATCTTCAGATCCCAGACCTCACGATCGACTGACATTCGAAAACAGACCTCAGACCACAAACTTGAGACCTCAGGCTTTAGAAAACAGAGCATAGACATCAGATTTCTGCCACGTGTCCAGAAAATGGGACGTGACCAGGAGTGACCCACCTGAGGCCTTTGCGTAGCGCCTGGAAAACGCGGTCCACATCCTCTGGCTGCAGGGACAAGACAGATCCGAATCCTCTTCTGGAAGACAGCGGAGCTCGTGGAGTTTTTCTTTCAGACACAGCGTTGGAGCGCAACGAGTTACGAGCCGAGGAAGGCCTGAAAAGACCAGGCAAGGGTAAAGTAAAGATACACTGTGCCACTGTGCTGAAGGAAAACTGCAGATACTTGTGTAAAAAAGACGTTGGTCAAAGTAGAAGTACTTATTCAATTCTAGTAAGGTTAAAAAAAAAGAAATAAATACAGACTCCTGAAAATTACAAAGTTAAAAAGTGACCTTTTTTTCCACTCTGAATTTTATTACGCATTTCCACCACGCGCTAACTAGCATTGGCTAGTTCCCATAGCTTTGCGAACTTTGTGACCCACAAAAACGCTTAATTATCTCATTCATTACTTGTATGTCATTTGTCTGTATAGACATAGAATTTTTTTGTACGGCAGGACGTTGCGGTTTTAAGCTGACACAAGACAGCACATTTGCCCGAAATTGTTCCCGGAGCCAACAGCAACAAACAAGTTGAGGCCACGCATGGGGAATACTGTATCCTCCTTCTCTGAATCTGTAGCCATCGTTGTCAATGGTCCTTCATTCTCGTTCCTCCATATTGCTGCAATCCTTGTTTTTTTTTCTCCACCTGATAAGACTCTAAGATCTTAATCAAGACCAAGATTTCAACCATAGCTGACATTCTCTGTCTCTGTTAGTTTTTTTTTTTTTTTTAATGTCGTGTTATCATCCAAAGAGGTTGAAAAAAAAATTAACAAATAAGGTGCAGAAAGTAGAGATATTTATTTTCAAATGTTAGGGAGCCAGTCAGTAAAAAAGCTGTCGGAAAAAAATAAATATTCAAGTAAAATTCAATATAAATACAGTAACCAAGTGTTTGTACTTTTATTTTATTTTTTTTGTTAGCCCGGTACAAATGATGCTAACACTCACCGCCGTCGGCCCGTCACAGAGCCGAACCCCGTGAAGGAGCGACTACGATGAACTGGGTTTCCATCCGAAGGCGAGTCAAATCGCAGCTTGACCGACATCCTGAAAGCAGGAAAAGTGGTTGTCAGGAGTCCTGTTTCCTGTTTCCCGATCCATTCACGCACGTCAGCTCACTGATGACAAAGACCACAAGGCTGACCCCAAAACCGCACAAACCGCAGCCTCAGCCGCCAATGAGAGCAAACACTGGCCTTCCCAAAGATAATACCGTGCTACATTGGCTTACGAGTGCCCAAAACTTACCAATTTTTCCTGTTATGAGCTGTTGCCCGATTGTTTTTTTTTTTACTTTGAATTCCACACAAGCGATCACAGAAAGGGACGGACCGCAGTCACCAAAATTATTTCAGTTCTTTACTCAACGAGATAAACGGTCAAAACACATGAATACAAAATGAGAGCACTTCAAAGGCCACGCCACTTAAAGTCACACAAAAAGTTGAGTCCTTTATGCTTTCTTTTATGATGTATTATGTGTTTTGTTTTTTTTTTTAACTGCACAGTGCTAATTTTATTACTTAAAAACAATGGAAAACTGGGTGGCTTCAGGAGGCTGGAAAGGATTATTGGGCAGGTCAGGTTTTGGTTGCTCTGCTCACAACTCAGTGAAAAAGAGCAATGCGTCGAAGATGTCGGCAGTTGTTGGGTTAAAAGTGTGGATAAAAGACAAGAGACAATTATTTTGACATTGGTCACTCTGGCTTGAATGGTAACGGACCACACCCAGAATCACAAGCGGATGACTTCAGATCTGAGACCCTAAACTTCAGGTCAAAGACCTCGAACTTCAGACCTTCGATCTCAGACAGCCGATTTCATCTGCAGACTTCAGAACCCGCAACTCAGACTTCAGGCCTGAGACCTCAGTTTTCATACTTCAGAGCTAAGGCGTTCTTCCTTAGGCTTCAGAGCTCAGAGTTCTCCCCAAAGATTTTCGAACTTCATTCCGAATATCTGAGACTTCAGACTTCAGAGATCTGACCACAGATTTTGGACTTCACTCCAGATTGCAATCCTGAGATCACAGACTACGGACCCAACACTTCAGGCTTCATACTTCAGACTACGGATGTTATACTTCACATCTCAGATATCCCATCTCAGCCCTCAAATATTCTACCCGAGACTTCATCCCCAAAACGTTAAACTTCCTACATCGGACCGAAGATTTTCTACTTGCCACTTGAGAAGTCAGTTTTCAGATCTCAGATCACAGCCTCCAAACGTCAGACTTCAGGGTCCAACCTTTGACTTCCGACCTCATACTTGAGACTACAGCTGTTCGACTTCAGACATCCTGTCTCAGATTTCAGACCTCAGATATCCGATCTCATACCTCACTTATCAGACCTCCAAATATCATCCCTCTGAGTTCAGACCTCAGGTCTCCGAAGCGTACATATTTTGGCTTCTTTGATCATCTTCTTCTTCTTTTATTTGCGACTGTCCACTTTTCTGCGGTCAAACCACCATTTCCCCATTCAGAGAACAATAAAGTCCGAGCCTATCTTGTTTCAATGCTCGTACCACTTGATTCCGTCTCTCTCACACATGCAGACTGAGTCATCTTCGACAGCGAAGGCCGCGTTTCCTCCTTTTGTTGTCTTGCCCTGGACTTCCCTCTTATTTCCACTCGAAAGTGAGGACGAGCGCCGAAACAACACAACAAAACGTAGGAAAACAGCAACGCAAAACCCGGAGATGTTAGTTGAAACACATCTTGAGGATTTATCTTTCTTCTACTTCTTCTTCTTTCGGGATCTGCGCCAAGTCAAACAAGATCGACTCGCTGCAGAGAGTTCAGAGGTTAGGAATGACTCATGCTCCCCAGGGAGGGCAACTATGCCACACACACACGCACACACACATGCAGACGGGATGTTGGACAAGGCATAGCAAAGTGACTTGGTAGCATTGACAGTTGTCTCTTCTACAGTACGTGGACACAATTAATCGATCACTTCTCTTAATCGATCAATAATCAATCGATGAATTAGAGAGGTTTAGAAGGGCTCTTATATCCACAAAAAAATGGACAAACATTCCAAACACAGGCACACTCTATCATCTCTTCGAAAGTCTCCTGCAAGCAATTATTTGCCCAAAAAAAAAAAAAATGGTAACGTTGACCACAAAAGTGCAATAGCTGTGCAAATTTAAAAAAATAATTCATCACAAAAAGGTCCACTTTACAATATAAAAGCGATGATATTGTCACAGAGTCATGTTAAGTCAGGCAAAGCTCTCGTTTCACTCCAAAATTCTAAAATGAAATAGAAAATAGAGATATTTAACATGACCAACATCACAAATGGTCAACATTCCCCAGATGCATGCCAGCGTCTTGTAGAAAGTCTTACGACAAAGCAATTCTATGCCGCAAAACGGGTAGGGTTATGTCTGATTGTTAAGGAAATGTTTTTATTGGGGCGTTAAGGCGACATGTTGCCATTAAAAGAATACGTTTGTGCTGAGACGGGGCAACATGTATGCTATTGACTAAAGGACAATATTTTGCCATGAAAAAACCCTGCATTTGATCACAAAAGGCGACATAATCCCGCAAATATGGCGATGTTTGTAGCGGCGTGCATTACATGCTGCTGCATGCGCCCGCCGTTATCTTAGCTTAGCTATCTGTGGCCAACAGATGAGCGACGCCTGCTGAGAGCTGCAACACACACACACACACACACACACACACACACACACACACACACACACACACACACACACACACACACACACACACACACACGCACACACTCAGCACTCT